CAAGAGGGCAAACCGTTATTTGCCTTGGCCAATAGCTATCTAATTTACACAATCACAGCTGTCTCTGCTACCAAAAACAAAACTGGATGTGTCTTTCTCTATTTCTTTAATACAAAGGAAGCTATTGAAGATTTTCTACAAAGTAATGGCTCCAATGGTGTTCAAGACTATTACAACAAGTCCATTACTTGCATTAAGACAGACGGTGTAAAACACGATGCGTTCTTCTCGTTGAATTCGACTGGAGAAACTTTTGTTGGTATTTTAGCAAACGTGAGCACTAATATTACATACATTGTGAGGGGAGTAATAATTGAATACAATACTTCAAATTGCCAACAAGAGAATATTCACTTTTTAACATACGACAAACCATTAAAAATCGATATATGCAAGAGCAGTATCTGTGCCTTTAAATCAGCTGAGACAACCATTGTTATAGACTCAGAGGAACAAGGAGTTCATGTCCACTGGGAGTCAAAACCACTGGAACTCACTTTAGCAGTGTGGATCATCATTATGTTGCTATTAGTACTGGTAGCAATACTGGGCATTGTCGCTATCTTACATGTGAAGGTAAATTCTATGCCTTGTTAATAATGCTTAACAAATATCTACACTAGAGATGTTTATATAAATGTAAACGTGCAAGTACATGTATGGCAAAAAAAACTGAAGGTAAGCTACAATACATGTAAGCTGTGCTTTTGAAAACATGTACATGTACGTACATGTGTCAGAATACAAGGAAGCATAATTGTCAGGGTCACAGAGAACTGTATAATCAAACAAATGCACACATCACATCGTTCACACGTCTGGCAAAAGTTTTGCTAGCATAGGGCAGATACCGTACAAGATGATTTATTGGCAGGAGTAACATTTGGCGAATTTGCCTTTGGAATGAAATTGGTGGATTTTATATTGGCAATTTTATGCCACATGCCATTGAGCATGCTCAGATTGAAACAAAATGGTGGATTTTACATTGGTAATTTCTTCGTAGATCTGCCAATCGCCAATATTAATTCCTCGCCAATAAATCATCTTGTACGGTAATAATTTTTAGCAATAACTACTCACTACTGACAAAATCTTCTACATGTAGCCCGCCAACCACTATTGGGCAAAAGAGATGATATTAAAACTGTTTTGTATGAAGTGTTGGAGTCTTATCATGCTAATATGAGCAAACTTTTCTCAAGAAATATAAAAGAAGTAGCAAAAAGAATGCACAGGAATGACATCATAACTAATGATGTGTACCATAATCCATCATGTGATGCTATCATTGAGTGCTTTAAAGGAAAATTGTCATACATACATGCACATGGATCAAATCAACAAAATATTGTGGATCATTGCAACAGCTTTATTAGAAGCATTCAAGAAATGAAAAAGGGGGAAAAGGATCACTGGGTGAAACTAGCTGATGCTATCAAGAAAGGTTGGACAACAAAAACAGAAGAGCGTCTTAAAATTAAGTTACAATTGAATTAGAACAAGAGTGTAAAGCTGTCTGTGTTGTAACTTTACATGTACATGTACTGTACATGTGTAATTGTAAGGTACTCTTATTATTATTACATGTACATGTAGGTGTTATTTTAGCTTTAAATTTTTGATGATAAAAAACAATTTTTTGAAAAATCAATACATAAAGCACATGAATTTATGGACGCAAGAATTATTACTATATAATTATTTTAGCTTGTAACTTAAGCTTAAATTTTACATGAATCACAAATATCAAA